AGACTATCAAAATGCTAGGATTTGTGTTTCCAATTGATCTATAAATTTAGAAAAAAAACTCTCATCAAAACCTTATCATGTTACTTTGTGACCATTACCCATTTTATTTTGAAGTTTATAAGGAAAGACAACAGATTTAGGACACCTACATTACCTGATCTGAGTCACTTTCGTTCAGTAATCCAGAGAGTACAGTATTGGAAAACAGAGATGAATTTGTCAATGGAACTGAACAGAGAGCTGGGAAGAGACACAAGCAAGCAGACTGATCATTGAGAAGAAGCAAAGACAGTTCAGGAGAGGAAGGCTGCTGCAGTAGTGGGAGGGAATACATGTAGAGAAACAAAGACTCTCCCAGAGTGTAACTCGGGATGCATCAGAGAGCTAAATGTATAGTTTATATCTATCTATTCTCCTAAGCCCAATCAAATAAGACAGCAGAAAGTCCAGTGACCTTGGTGACTGTGGCTTAATGCTGGCTTTTTAGAGACACCACCAAAAGTATGTTCCATGAAAGTAAAAAGAAAATCTGCCAACTGCACTTGATGAAAACTCAAGCCTTTGGCTATGCAAAAGAGGGTTAATAAAAGAACGAGAAAACAAGCCAGAGAATGGGATAAATTCCTTACAAAAGACATGTCTGATAAAAGGCTAGTTTTCAATTTATATGGAACTCTTAAAACTTAACAATGAGAAAATATACCACCTAATTAAATACTGGGCCAAAGTTTTAGCTGAACCATAGAAGATAAAAGTGTCTAGTAAGCATACAAACCATGCTGAGAATCCAACAGCATTCCTGGTCTAATATCCTGAATCCACATCTCCCAAAAGTGACACCATCTACGCACAGATATGAAGTGACATGGAAAATTCCATCCTTAACCTCATGTGATAGGTTGTCCTTAAAATGTAGGTTCACTATATATATTATATTAACTTAATTGTAGGCTATGTGCACATGAGTGTGATGATTTGAATGAGAATAGACACCATAGGCTCATACATATGAATGCTTGGTTCCAGTCAGTGGAACTGTTTAGGAAGGATTAGGAGGCGTGGCCTTGCTGGAGAAGGTGTGTCACTGGGGATAGGCTTGAGGTTTCAAAAGCCCACTCCAGGCCCAGTCTCCCCCCTCTCTTTTTCTCTCTCTGCCTCCCACTTGTGGATCAGATATAAGCTCTGAGCTACTGCTCCAGTACCATGCCTGCCTGCTGCTCTGCTCCCCACTGTGGTGGTCATGGGCTAACTGTCTGAAACTATAGGCAAGCCTCTAAATAAATGATTTTTATATGTTACCTTGGTCATAGTGTTTTACCACAGCAATAGAACTGTTCACTAAGACAATGAGCAATACATGAATTTATGTGTGCACTTAGGCCCCATCTTCAAGGTACCACATTACAAATGCGCAAATATTCCAAACACAAAACAATAAATAAATAAATAAAATAAAATCCAAGGTATCAAACATTTCTTTTCAGATAAGGGATGCCCAATTGTAGATCACTAGTGAGTTGCAAATTAAACAATAAACTCCTACAAACCTATCAGCATGGCTAAAATCTAAAATACTGACAGCCTAATAAATGTTGGTAACAGACACTCCATTTACTGATGATGAGAATGCAAAATAATATATCCATTTTGGGAGACATTTTTTGTAAAATTAATATGTCTTTACCCTATGATCCAACATTTATTCTTCTTGTTTTTATCTAAATAGGCTGAAAAGTAAGCACATGAATGATTATTGCAGCTTCACTCATGATCATTAAAACTTGGAAGCAAAGAAATATCCTTAAATAGACAATGGCTAACTGTGGTATAACTATGCAATGCAGTATGTACTAGTCAGCAATAAAAACAAAGGACCAATCAAGGAACAAAACCACATGGAAGAAACATGTGTTTCTAAATGAAAGAAGTCACCCCCAAAAAGGATAGTTGTCATAGAATTATCAACTATATGACTATTGAGACAAAGCAAAACCATGGAGATAGTAAATGGGAGAAAATAAAAACAAACAAACAGAAAACAGGTCAAGGGTTGCCATCAGTCAAAGAGGCAAAGGGAGGGATGGATGAACGGGTAGAGCATAAAAGGTTTCTACAGCTGCAAAACTTCTATATGGTACTGTAGTGTAGGATATACTATACACATACTTATAAAAGCCTGTAGAATGTCTCACACAGAAAGTCAATCCTGGACTGTAGACTCTAGTCAGTAATATATCAGTGCTGTAACAAATATACTAGAAAAAAGACCCAATCAAGATGAAACCAGAATGATAGAGGTACTAAAAGGAAGGAGGGGTGTCACTCTAATTTACACCCAGTTTTCCTATAAGCACTATATTAGTCGCTTTTCTATTGCTGTGGTCAAACACCGTGACCAAGACAGTTTATAAAAGAAAGCATTCAATTTGGCTTATGGCTTCAGGGGGTTAGAGCCCATGATGGTGGAGCAAAAGTACTGTAGTAGGAACAGCTGAGAGCTCACGTCCTGAGCCACAAGCACTAGGAAGAGGGAAGAGTGCATGGGGAATGAATTAGGTCTTTGGAAACATAAAAGCCGGCACCCAGTAATACACTTTCTCCCACTAGGCCACACCATCTAACTGTTCCTAAACAGTTCCACCAACTGAAGACCAAGTATTCAGATGCTGAAGATTTATGATGAGCACCTCATCCAAACCACCATAAGCATAACACTACAATAAGCCTCCCAACTTAAACAATAAACATCCCTTAGTGAAGGAGAAAAAAGGAGAAAGGCCAATGATATTAAATATTTGCATAGGCAAATTGAAACCACAACGAAGTATTGCTATCAGTATCCCACAGTGCCCAGAATTTTTAAAGCCTTGAGTAACTGAATGCTGGCAAGGAACTTTGAAAAAATGAGTTTTCTCACATTCTTGGTGAGAGTGCAAAAATGGTACAGCTACTCTGAAAATCAGTTTGCTTCTGATAAAGCTTAGTATATACTTACCATATGTATATGCTACATATACTACCAATCCGACGCCTGAGCCATTTGCCCTTGGTAAATGAAACAAACAAAAAACTGTGCAAAAATGTTTGTAGTATCTTCGTTCCCGATTGCTTCAACCTGGATGTGCTACAAATGTTCAAATGATAAATGGATTGAAAAGTTAAAATTTATTTATACGTGGGTTAGTAACCAACAACAAACAGAAATATAGCATAAAGGAAGTTTCCAACCCACACACGAGTGAAAGTCAGAAAAAGGGGCTTAAGAAAAGTAATTTTCTTTCTTTTTTCTTTTTCTTTTTTTCTTTTCCTTTTTTTTTTTCAAATCCAATGTGTAATAGGAACAAAATATTTGGCCATTTCTTCAAAGAAGGTATATAAATGGCCAACTGGGACATAAAACATGCTCAACATCATTACTAATCATGAAGTGAATATAAATGAAACCCATGATAGAGTATGATCCTTCAAAATTCACCAGGATGGCTATAGTAAAAAGAAGGATGTCAACAACCAATTGGAGGAAATCAGGAACCTACTTTGCCGGTGGAAATACGAAGTGGCTCAGCATTTTGAAAATTTTGTCAGTTGCCCAAGAAAACAAACACATTCTAAAGAATATAGAACATTTGCTCACAACAAAATAGGCATGAGAATGTTTAGGGAAGCCCAATTTAGCCTCCAAAGTACACAGAACAAAAATGCTCATCAACTAATATATGGGTAAAATAAAATGTGTTTCCATGCAATGGGATGTCATACAGCCATTAAAGGAATGAAACACTGATTCAAACTACAATGTGGATAAACCTGAAGGCATTGTTCAAAGTGAAAGAAGATAGACATGAAAGACCATGCACTCTGTGATTCTATTTGTATGAAATGCTTAGTGTAACCAAATCCATAATGATAGAGATTAGTGGGGAAGAGGAAAATGGGGAGCGGGGTGAGTGCAAATAGTCAAAGTTTTTGTGGATCGATGGACTTGCTCTAGAAGTACATATCTGTGACACCTACACAGTCTAGTGAATGTGCCAAGTGTTGCTGCTCCGCACACATTTTTCTCTGTATTATTTTTTAATTGAGTCTCTCTCTGTAGTTCCAGCTAGCCTGGAATTCTGTAAGTAGTCTCATACTCATAATCTCTAACTCATAGATTTCCTCCTGCCGCAGCCTCCAAAGTCTTGGGATTACAGATGTGAGCAGACACACCTAGCAAAGAGTGAGTTTTATTTGGAGGCTTTACAAGGCTATATGCTATGTGATAACATTTATATAATGTTTTGGAATAGAAAATATATATTTGTTATTAATCAATTATTTTAATTATATATTAATAAGTTATTAAATTCAGAAATTAAATCCCAGAGGCAGAGTTATTGGCCTTGGGTAATGAAAGGGGGTTCTATGTTGACAAGTTCTGTGTGTTGTAGGTGGTGGTGACTACAGAAGGTTTCTACCAAACCTATTACTTTATATAATATGCTTCAATTTTGCTATATGTTACATAATTATGAAAGCACAACCAAAACAAAGGAAGAAAGGAGGGTGGAGAGAGCGAGGGAAGGAAGAATGGGAAGAGGAGAGAAGGCAGACAGGAGGTGAGACAATACACAAGAGAGCACAGAAGGCACAGCCTGAGAGAATGGGAATGTGGGAGAGATCTTGTTGTCATTCACACAGCAGCGATAACCACAGCAAGGAAGCCAGTCTCAGATAGACAGCTGACATATCTGTGCTCTCATTGGCCAATGATGCCTAGATGTTATAGAGACACATAGAGTCACGTATATGTACATACCATGAAAACAGAACTGAAACTATCCAGGGAAAAGGTCCATTTTGTGTTGTCCATATACTCACTGGAGTTTGGCCAAGTTCCTAGTGGCCAGCCCCTAAGGAGGATGAGTCTTTCTGCCTCCATTGAAGCCAGAAACCACCCACTGAGGAAAGCCCTGTGGTGGCCAGACATAGCTCTTTTGCACCCACACCCTTGCTATCACCTTCACGAACAGAGCCAGTTCTCTCCTCCCATGTCTATGCCGCTACTGGTGTCACGGGCAGGGGAGGTGTGAGGCCAGTTTCTCTGGCTGCCTGCGAGTCAGCTCTCCTGTGTCCACAGCATTGTTGGTGCCCACAGGGGTCCGCATGTGCAACGCTAAAAACAAAAAACAAAAAACAAACAAACAAACTGCTCAATTTCTGTTTTTGTTTGTAAAAGGCTAGTACAGTTCAAGCCAGGTAGAACTGACAGCATCGTTAACAGCAGATATATAACCAATTACAGAGAGCATAAGGGTGCTTCAGAAAGCATCCTTCTGGGATGCAGAGGGCGAAGGCCAGTGTCCCGTTCAGCAGCACAGAGGAACTTTCATCAGAACGTCCTTTTGCTTTCTTGTTTCTTTGTGGAAATCACAGTGAGTGTTCCGAGTCCATGTCAGTTCCCCCTTTCTTCTGGCATGGTAAGCATCTCTCTGGCTATCTTGAACACGTCTAGCCACTGGGTTTTTCACTTTACGACTACGGTGTCCTATGTTACTGTATCTGATTCTCTTTATTACAGGCTAATCTTCCCTGTAGTTGAAATGAATATTACCAGGGATAGGAAGATAACAAATACTTATTCTTTATCCCTCTCTGCACCTGGGACATTAAGTTTTAAATTACATTCTGATGTATTAACCAGATTTACTTGAACCCTTGATATGAATAATCTAGTCTCTTTCGGTTCTCTGGGATTCTTGGCATGGCTCATCATATGACCTTTTAACCAATTTTGCTGTGACAGAACTTCTGAGAGAGAGAGAGAAAGGATGGTTTTGAGCCAGTTTCTCTGAGCCTTAATTTCACACTATAAAGTGGGTGCTCAAATCAGTATCTTCTTCCTTTTTTTTTTTTTTTCAGGTTGCATTTTTAAAACACACAGCACTGTGTGTAATGATAGTGATTATTGCCCTGTGCTGGTCTATAAAGTATTGTTCACAAAGAGCTGTACCCAGAAGGGCATGTGTGACGGGAGCAGGGAAGCCGCTTCCGTGGCTGGACAGGAACCTTCCATGCAGGCTGCAGGAGGACCACGGGGTGAGCTGACTGAGGCACCCCGTGGAAGAACTGCCAAGTCTCACTGAGCAACAGCACCCTACACCGGTTCCTTTCTACTTTCTTATGACAACATACCTGGAAAGGCAACTGAGGCAGGCAGGTTCATTTCAGTCAGAGTGCAGTCCAGCACGGTGCAGAAAGCATGGTGGAAGAAGCGTGAGGCCGCTGGTCACGTTATCTTCATAGTCAGGAAGCAGAGAGGAGTGAACGCCAGGGGCTCCCATGGGCCTTCTCACTTTCATTTAGTTTGGGACCCCAGCCCATGGAATGGTACTGCCCACACGTGTGGTGAGCTGTCCCGTGTCAGTTAACCCAGTCTAGAAACTCCCATAATGCCCAGTGGTTCATCTTCTCGGTGACCCTAGAGCTACGAAGTCAACAACCACAATTAGCCACTGTAGGCCGCTGATTTGGAAATGGGATCCACACACAGTTTTTGAGGAAGTCCACAGAGCTGGATATGAAAAGGGGAACATATCTCTTTTTTGTGGGGCTCAACCTCCCCATTTGTATTTGCCGTCTCTCTGTAAGAAAAATGAAGTGTTCCCTCTAGATAAATTACAGCACCCAAGCTGGTTTTTATGAAAACTTCTGTTTGTGAAATTACTTTAAAAGTACAATCAGTTTTCAGAGTTCTTTTCCCTTCAAGTGTTAATTAATTTGATAGTTTTTGAGGTGGTCTGGCCCTGCGAAGCAAAAACAGGTGCTTCGCTTTGGAGAAGAGATGAGAATTCAGAATGAATGGCATGCAGAGACCTATTCTGTGTCTGAGAACAGCCTGTGTATCTCAAACCCTTTCAGTGTCTGGGCCACTTAAGTGCTGGCATCATGGAACACAGGATGAGGCAGAACAATCGTGTGATTGTTTTTAACATCCTCCAAGAGGATTTCAGGGTAGCATAAGCTGCTAATGAATTTCAGGAGGCAGGTGCAAGGCATGCAATTACTTTTCCATTTCCATCCCTTTTACCGTCGAGAGTACTTGCAGATTATTCACTGATTTCCATGGAAGAAGCTTTTTGTGAGAAAGAAATATTCTATCAGAAAACAGCAATTAGCCGTTGTTCAAGATGTCTCAAATTGGAAGGAAAATAATACAAACAAAAGTGACAACGGTTCACATTTGAAGAAATTCAACTCGTCCTCATTAACATTTTAAATGGTCACTTTACTTCGCTTTCCTAATATGCTTGGTCACCAGGGCTAATAATGCGGTCTTTGCCGATGTTTTCCCCGATGAGGCATTGCTTCTCCCACAGACCCATTTGAGTGACAACTTTGATTCTCACTGGATTGTTCCCATCTTCGTCCTACTCTTCATACCTTTTGCTCTGTCACACTTTCTTGATCTCAGTTCCCTGGTGTACCTTGTACTGATCGAAAGGCCTGCACTACAGTGAGTTTAGAGAGCAGTCCTGGGCTCACCCCCCACCCCCTAAGGAAGGAGAGATGATTTTCGTGGGGCCTCTTAACACCTGCCTCCCACCTTCCAGGCCACTGTCTGCTGCTTTCTCTGCCTTCCCATTTTGAAGAATTAAAGGCGATCCTGGTTTAAATGGCAACAGTCCATAAAGGCACTTTCTTCTATTTACCTGCAAATTTCTTGATTTCATTTTATTATACCGAGTGAGTTCATTCAAACGGAGAGAGACAAATGCTGCGTATTCTCTGATCTGTGGATCCCAGCTCTGAAACTTGAGGTTGAGTATATAACCTCCAGTAACCACAGAAGCCAGGAAAGTGGAAAGGGACCATGTGGTGAGGGGAAGGCAGAGAGCTCTAGAGAGGGACATAGGAAAGAGGTCATATGACAGGGAAATGGGAAAAGCTAGGGAGGGCACGCTAACTGGAGGGGAGGAAAGGAGGGTAACACAGAGGGAGAAGGAGGAAAGAGAGATAAATAACATTAAGCATGTTTGAAAAAGTCACAGGAAAACATTTTATAAGCTTACTGTATAAGATGTAATAATGTGTATGATTTACATGGAGTTAGGCTATATGAGGTGACAATGTTACCCCCAAGAGCCATAGTGTATCTAAGAAAACGGCAGTGCCAGGCATGGGCAATCTTCCTTCATGTTCTTGGTCAGGGAAGCCCCAGGGACTCCCAAAACAATACAGAGTACTGCTTTTGCCTTTGGTTGCCTCCCAGAACTCAAAGATAAGACTTGTATTGCTGATGGTACTTTAGACTTGGAGGAATGGAGCTGAACCTGACCTGATGTGGAAGCCTACTCTATAAGGACCAACTCTCAGAGTATCTGAAGGTTCTATGTAAGTTGCCAAGGGAGGAAAGCAACTGAAAGATAGTCCCACCCAACAGTGAAGTCTATGAACCACAACAACCAGCATGGCAAGATATAAATAAAACTACCGCAGTGACATTTACATCTTTGAGTAGCCAACAGCCATTTAACTAAGGGCCCACTTAGTCAGAGGGAATTCATGCCTGTAACCACGAACCTAGCCAGCTACCCATGGTTGGAGAAATCATAGGCACTATATGGGAGCTTTGTCCTTTCCCCAAAACAGTATAATTATTAACTGAATTCTAAATGCTTAGTCTTATACTCACAGATAAGTGTAGCTCGCATACAATGTAATCTCTACACATAAAGCTCAGGGAACATTGTGGATTACCAGAATGCCTGCTGCCAGAGAGTGTCTTCTAGACATGACAAGAAATCTGCACCCATGAAATTTTAATAAGAATGTTGCCTAAATAAGCCCTACATAGACTGCTGGCAATGGTCGAGAGACAGCCGGGACTGACCTACTCTGTTGATGGGATAGCCAAACCCCCTAATAGTTGTGCCAGAAACCCCATCCAAGGACTGAGGAATCTGGATGCAGACATCCACGGCTAGGCCCCAGGTAGAGTGCTTGGAGTCTAATTATCGAGAAAGAGGAGGGTTTATATGAGCGAGAATTGTTGAAACCAAGGTTGGATAAAGCACAGGAACAAATGGCCAAACGAATGGAAACACAAGAACTATGAACCAAAGGCTGAGGGGTCCCCAATTGGATCAGGTCCTCTGAATAGGTGAGATAGTTGATTGGCTTGATCTGTTTGGGAGGCATCTAGGCAGTGGTACCAGGTCCTGGGCTCATTGCATGAGTTAGCTGTTTGAAACCTGGGACTTATGCAGGGACGCTTGGCTCAATCTGGGAGGAGGGGACTGGACCTGCCTGGACTGAGTCTATCAGGTCAATCTCAGTCGTCTGGGGAGGCTTTGCCCTGAAAGAGGTGGAAATGGGGGGTAGGCTGGGGGGAAGGGGAGGGGGCAGGAAGGGGGAGAACAAGGGAATCTGTGGCTTTTATGTAGAACTGAATGGTATTGTAAAATAAAATAAAATAAAAAATAAGCCCTACATAATGACAATACCACTTGACATGCCAATGTAGTTGTGGAAACTTCACAAGGCCCTACTCTGAAATGAGCTACAGAAAATCCATGGCTACAGAGAAAGGGAGACCCAGTCTTCTCCAGGGATGAGTCCTCCATGGGTTATCTAATCCAAAGCAGTCAGGCCTAAACACATACATAAGAACGGCACTAAATGGAGTCAGTAGATTATAAGGAGAACAACACAGAGTAAGAGTCATGGACTTGAAAGGGAGTGGATGAGGCACAGGAGGAGCTAGAGGAGGCATGGGCATGATGATACATAATACTCACATATGGAATTCCAAAAAATACCTTTAAAACCTCAAATGAAAACAAAGGAGTTTTACAAAGCATTATTTTGTGTTCCTGCAGTTGTGGGTAAGGTTTAAAGAAACGTCAAGCACACCAAGACTCTGACTTGTAAAGTGAAGAAGGCTAACAGCATTTGAAGCTGTCATTCTACCCAAAAAGCTTCTTAGGAAGACCCAGAATTAGTTCTGTCAAGCCAACAACATCCCTGGTCCTTCCTGTAACATTACAGCCAGAAGGCTGGGAGGAGATAATGTAGTAATTTACACAACCAGTGTCTTGGTAGAGAATTCTGGCCAATCTTTACATGAAGGCAATAAGATAGATGCTTGAACTTCTCTGAACCAATGAAGGACAGTCTGTAGAGACTCCCGTATGGATCAGATTCTTCCATGTCATAGATCCCTCAGGCAACTACCTGGCTTATTTGCCCCAGGCTCTATGCTCCAAAGACGAACTGGAGAGTGATGGCAGAGCTGAGAGAGGTAGAGACTAGGCAGCCTGGATTTGTACCACACAGAATGGAAAGAAGGTGAGCTTCTCTTACAGATTACCTAGGCTTGCTGGCTTCTGTGCCAAGAAGCAACCTAGACAGGAGTAATCATCAGTGGGTAGAGTACTCCCAAGGGAGGTGCTAAAGGGATGTTGGTTAAGTCATTGCTGAATCTTTTCACCAGAAACCACACACCAAAAAGACTCTGGCTGTTCACTCATGGAATGTATGTGTTCCGCTTAGAAGCTCAGCAACCTGTAGATGTACATCTGCAGTGCAAAAGTCCGAGGACTCACTTTCTACTGGCAAGACAAACAGCATTCATCAACCAGAAGATCAACCATAGCAGCACCCTAAGTAAAACTGCCCCTTCATGTCCTTCCTCTGAGTGGATCTTGAGAAAGGGAGCTGGGAAGAGGAAGAAGAAGTATAGACAGAGCAACCCGATTCCCCCTTTCTTCAGGCAGGGTTTGCCAGTGTCAGCAAAAATAAACAATATGTCTCTGCATTGAGTCTAACACTTTACATTTAAAATAAAGTGGGTTAAGCAGTATATATGGAAAGCCACTCATTCATTCCACAGACATCTATTTCTTTTTTCTTTTTTTTTACTCCTCTATCTGGACACATCATGGGACTCTGTTGCTGATGTTTACTAAGACTCTTCAGTCTACCTGGCATCCTCCAATCCCTCTGCTGTACCTTAGTTCATGTGCCACATACCGTCACTTGATGTCCCATAGTGATCTTCCGTATGGGTTCCTTCACTGACATCTGCCCTTCTAGAACATTTTTTTTTTTTTACCCTAGGTCCGATGAGAGTCTATACAACACAGATCTGGTTGTTTCATTCCTTAGCTTAAAGCACTTGTTTTTATTTGCACTTGGGATAAAGCCCCAATCTGTAGTATGGCCTGCAAAGAATGGGTCCCTGCCTATCCCTCCTCACTCACTTCAAAGCACATCTCTCCTGTCTACTCCCATCACGCTGACGTTCTTCTTTGTAGCCTGTCATTATTTCTCAACATCAGGCTTTTGGCATACAGCCAGAAAACCTCTTTTTCATGTTCTGGTTGCTCAGCCCCCACTATCTTTCAAATCTT